CCATGCGCAGTGCCCTCTCCAGGGCGTGGGCTGGTCTGCAGGGAGGGTTGCCACCAATGCTCCCTCTAAGCTGTGGCGTCTTGTGAGCAAAGCTTCTCCTTTGTGCGTCCCTGGCATTAAAGTGGTGAGGGAGCGATTCGGCGCTATGGCATCAGTTCGCTTGCTCTGGAGCCCCCTCCTTCCTGAGCTGAGTCAAAAGGGTGTGAGCCGGAGGCTAGAAAACTGCGAGCAGGCCCACACTGACTCAGCTGAGAGGGAACGCTGGCTGCCACCTCTAGGCTGGGCAACGCCAGTGGAGAGTGGGGAGAACGCCGCAGCCGCCCCCTTCCGATGCAGCCACTTTCTCCGGGGGGACGACGACGGCGACGACTGGTGGTCTCTGCTGCCCGGGAGGAGGGGGGGTCGGGGGTCAGCCGCACTCAGTCTCCCCGCAGGGGATCTCCAGACGCCCCCGGGAGGTTGGCAACCCGCCTGCTCCTCGGGGCCTGCTGCGGTCCAGAGAAAAGAGGCGCCGGGGGGGGGGGGCGGATAGGAGTCCCGCCTCCTGGGCCTCTTTGTGACAGGAGGCGGGCTTCCCTTCCACCACCAATCGAGGACTCCCGCGCTGCAGCCCCGCCCCCGCCATCGGCCCCAGTCACCACCCCTCCATATAGGAGGTGGTGCACCAGTCGACCGCCGGCCTCTTCCTCTCCTCGGTCATTGGTGGAGTCCCGTGTCCATCGGAGCCGCGCCCTCCTCCTCCAGCAGCGTCACCGGCTTCCCTCGTTCCTATTGGCCGGCTCCTTGGCGGCCTTCGCACGTCGCCCCGCCGGCCTGCATCGGCTGCCGCTGGTTCGCCCAAAGACCCGTCCGTCACGCGGCCTGGCCCAATCCGCGCGCGGGCTGAGACCTCCGCACCGTTCATTGGACGGCCCGGGTGGGGGGGGTGAGAAAACACGCGTCAACATTCCGCAGGTGCGAACCGAAATGCGCGTCTCCCCCTCCCCCCCTTTATGCGCCACGAGACGCTCCGGAGTGGCCTGTAAGCCGA